CCCCAAAACCCCAAAACCCCAAAACCCCAAAACCCCAGCTGGAGATTTAAATTCAAATTATTTTATTTAGCAATGGGTACTTTGCAAAAGCAATATTTGCTGATCCCCAAAAAGAAGGACAGAAGGCACCCAAAGGTTTCCACCTTTGTAGTGATGCTCCTTTTCAGTATTCTCTTCATGAAATATACCAATTGTAAGTGAAAGACTTACAATGAAGTTCTTTGAAAATTATTCAAGAGCAAGGATTTAATATCAATTTAGGAGCAACTATGGGAACAGTTCAGATTACTTCAGATCCAAGCAAGGTCAGTGAAGTAGCTGAAATGAGGCTACTTATAACCCCAGTGGAACCGATACCAGCCAATGGGAAGATCAAGATAACTATTCCCTCCACAACTTCCATTACACAAGGGAGCTTAGCTTGAGTCATGGTAAGATTTTAGGATAATGTATAGGTCGAACCCTCTGGAACCACTGTAACCTGTACAGCAACAAATAGAGAAATTGTAGCAGTAGTAGGATCTTCATTAAGTGTCATTCTGCTACAATTAAACATCCCTGGATTTACAAATCCTCCAACAACTTCTCCTACTGATTCATTTATTGTCTATACAACAGATGCTTCAGATAATATCCTAGATCAAAAGACATCTGGAGCATCTCTCACTGCAACAGTTGGTGCTTTGACAGGTATCTACAGTTACTATTTTTATAGCTTCCAGCATTACTCCAGCATCAGATGTAGTTGGTGAAATCACCACTGCTAATTTCCAGATCACTTTGGCGCATGAAGTCCCGGCAGGTGGTACTATCAGGGTAAATTTCCCAAAATGGAACCCAAATGCTGCATCTGGAAGCATATTCTCAATGATTCAGGGAACTTATATATGCACATCTCTGCAGGTAAACTTATTTTATAAATTTAGAATCTGGATTCTGGTTTAATATGAGACTTTTCAAACGATATCCTGACATTAAGTAAAATAAATCCTTCAGCAGCCATAGCTGCTGCTTCAGTGGTCAGATTTTCAGTAACAAGTGTAAGGAATCCTCTCTCTACTGCAGCTAAAAGTGGAATTTCCATAACTACCATTGCGCCAAATGGAGGAAGTATAGATTCTGCAAGCTTGACTCTCCAAGTATCTACTGCAGCAGCTATCTCTTCAGTGACTCCTTCCAGTACAACTACTACAGAAGTCTATGAATCCACAAATTTCAGACTAACTTTTCCTATCCCGCTGGATATGGATGCCAACTGGAAGTTTGAAATAACTTTCCCAAGTGATATAACAATCTCTTCCTTCACTGAGATAAATGGGTATCAGCTCTTTGGAGGAAAAGTTAATTTCTTGCCAAGTGCTACTATTCATACATCTAATAACACCGTTGTAGTAATAAATGCAATGAGCAGTTATACAACTACATCACTCAGTGCAATAGTTGAGTTTGTGACTATACAAAACCCTCTGAGTATCAAAACTACAGGCAGCTTTGCAGTATATCTTAAGACGTCATCCGGAGCAAACATAGCATCTATTACCACAGGGATAACTTATACTGCTACTGTTGGCTCTATTACTGATATGACTGCTACACCTGATGCAACTACTGTTGGTGTTTCTACATCTGTGTTATTTCGCTTTAAGCCAAAGCATAACATCCCTGCTTCTTCAAAACTAATCGTGACTCTACCCTCAGAGACCTCTATAGTTGCTAAAACCTCTGCAACTTGAACTCTTTCAGATCTTGCTCACATCCAATCATCAGCAACTTGTACTGTAACTGGAAGAGTAATTGAAATTTCAAGTCCTTTCTCTGCAGACTTTAATCAAGATACAACAAAAATTATCGCTTTTAAGATTGGTGATATTACCATGCCAAGCACTACAGCTCCTTCCTCAATTGGAACATTTGAGACATGATACTTAACCGGTGGAACGTGCTATAGTATAGATAAATCGACACAAAGTGCTCTTCTTACCTCAACCGTTGGGGCGTTGACTTCGTTCAATGTAGCTCCTACTTCAACCCTTGCTTATGCTTCTACATCATATACATTCACACTTGTGCCAGCAAATGAGATTCCTATAGGTGGAAAAATTTTGATAACTCTTCCATCAGAGGTGACTATTCCTAATCCCACATACTCAGGAAACAGCTGCTCTTTTAGAAGGATGCTCAATGGAAAGAGAGATATTGCATCCACAGGATTAGGCTCATCTTTTACCTGCACATGTACTTCTTCCACAATCTTAGTTGAAGAAGGATTCACAACATCTGCCTTCTCAGGAGGAGGAACTATTTCTTTTGATATTAAAGGAATAAGAAACCCTGTCTCAACTGAACCAACATCTAGCTTTGCAGCAAAAACAAGAACCTCGGCGAATTACGATATTGATGAGATCAACTCAGGGAGATTTGTGATAATGACAACTGTGAGTGCACTCCAAAGTGTCACTCTGTCTTCCTCTTCTCTTGTAAATGGGGCTCAAAATAATTTAAGAATGACGGTAAATTCACCAAGTGATCTGCTAAATGGGTATAAACTTGTGGTGACCTTCCCAACCCAGGTTGAGCTTCCAACTACAGTTACTTGCCAAGGAGTCGACCTACCTGTAAGTATCATGCTAAAATCTTGAATCTGTCTTCTAATGAGTTTAGAGTACTACAAATGATCTTGCCACAACTGTCACGTGCTCAAAATCTGGAAATTCAGTGACAGTGACTTTACAATTCACAACAGATGCCAGACTTTCTGCAGGAAATTCGTTTGCTGTATTATTTCAGAATATCAAAAATCCAACGTCGACTAGCCCAAGCGATAACCTTGTGACAGCTATCAACAATGCCAATAGTAATTTTTGATAAAATAGTAGATTTTCAAGTGAACGACTACAGTTCTGATTTAAAAATAATCACAACACAGCCTGCTGCAATTACAACATCCTCTTTAGTCCAGAGCTCTGGCGATGCTAGTGCTGTAATTGACATTACCATAAGTATTCGATTGGTCCACGATATTCCTGCAAATGGGCTGATTTCGATTATCCATCCCTCAGAAGTATCCGTAGATTCAGGAACTCTTACAGCATCTTTGCTATCGCCAACCTCGATTGCCTCTCTGACTTTATCGTATACCTCAAGTGATAGAAGAATAAAAATTACTAATATGTTCCCATCTGGAGGAACTGCTGGTACGACTTATCAATTCCAGCTTAAAAATGTAAAGAATACAGACACAAGCACAGCTACCTCTTCCTTTACGGTAACAACTTACCTAACTTCATCAGGAAATTATAGGATTGATGAGGTATCAACTGGCCTAACAATGGCAGCTTCATGCAATTATCCATGAGCTACTTGTGCTTCATCAACTCCTTCTGTCTGAACTTCCTGACTGACTGCTACTCCTGCACTTTATCTCCAAGATAACAGCTGAGTCACTGTCTGAGATGAAGGTAAACTTCCTGTTGGAAATACTTGAAGTGATTGTAATTCACAATGTGTTGCATGAGATTCAAGTGATGCGAACCATTGAACAAAATGTGGCAAGACTGGCTTTGAATACCTCTCTGGAACAACTTGCACTGGTACATGTCCAGATGGAACATTCGGAAATAGTGTTAACAACAACTGTGATGCTTGTGATTCTACCAATGCTTTTTGCAAAACATGTAGTGGTAATAGCCAAACTTGTACTTCATGACTGAAAACTCCAGCAGTTTACATTCTCTATGGGACCTCATGAGTAAGCACCTGACCACCAAATGAATCTATTTACAATGCAATATCAGACAAATGAGATGCATGAAATTCAAATTGATTAACATGCTCAGGATCGATTACTCAATGAACATCTTGTGTATCTAATAGAAAGTTAGATTTGAGAACGAATACTTGCGAAACTTCTTGTGAGACTGGAAAAACTATAGAAAGTGGCTCAAACTGTATCGGATGACATTCAAGTTGTAATACCTGAGAAATAGCATCTACTACATGCACTTCCTGCACAGGAACAAATGTGGTAACTACTTCAAACGCCTGAGCAAGTTCCTGTAGTAATTCAAATGAAGTAGCTATAAATGGAGTTTGATATACCTGAGACTCCAGTTGCTCATCCTGCTCAGGAACTGTTAGCACTTGTACTGGATGCAACTCACCATTTGTCCTTCATGAGAGCAAATGAATTACAGATTGACCAACAAAATATCAAAATAATACTGGAACCTGAGTCGAAGTAGGACTTGTATGCCCAACAAACTTTACCTTAAGCGAGGATGAGACTTCTTGTGTACCTACAAGAGTCACTTGTGATGAAGGATTCAAATTAAATAGCTCAGGAAATTGTGTGCCAGATGGAACTGGATTTGTCCCTTTCCCATTTGTCTTTATTCTTTGATGTCTCACTCTCATCGTAATTGCTGGAAAAATCAAAGATAAGAATCATACTAGAGTGATTGCCAATCTTATTGCTCTTTATGGACTAGTAGAGCCTGCACTGATGCTTACTCTATTTATTAGCTGAATATTTATTGGAAAAATGATTCCTTCAATCTTAGCAATAGTGGCCTTAATCCTTCATTACTGTCTAAACCTTACAATGCTAATCAGATATAAGACATCAATGATGAACGATAAGGAATTCTCAAGATGGATCCTCGTTTATAGGAAGACTAAAATTACAATCCTCATTCTTGGAACAGCAGGAAGTTTCAGAGCATTCAAGATATTCTATGCAGGACTCTTTGGACTTGATAGCTGAATGGCGAGATTTGAGAACCCAAAGAGAGCCTTTATGAGACCTCAAAACTACCTCGCTTTCTTCTCTTTAGCAATTATATATGTATTACTTACTGTTGCATCAGTCACAGTATTCGTGACTGTAGGATGGGGATATCAAGCACTAATCACAGCTATCGAAGTCATAATTCTCTACATAATCTTGATTATTTTGCACATCCTTGAGAAGACCTATGACCCAAGTCCTTGAAGTGATAAGGAGTATGTCCAAATAGGAATGAAGAAGTATGGAGAAGATCTTACGATGTCAGGCGTCCCTATTCACAACTACAATGATGAACTTAATGAAAAAGAAGAACAGCTTAATATTGACCTGAGAAGACAAGCCCTAACTGATATTGTCAGGACTGTGAAATCTTATTCAAAAGATGGCTTCTTCTCTGATGGAACTCTTAAACAATGTGAAATCCAAACCAAAATGCGCCGTGCTTTCTCATTCAAAGAGCTACCTCCAATCAAGGAGGAAGATTCAGAGGATACATCTGATGAAGAGAAGGATTATTATTACCAGCCAAGAAGGAAACGAAGATTCTCTATCGGAACAGAGAACAAACTTGAAAAATATGCTGATCATAAGTTCTTCACAGCTATTGAGGACATAAGGAGTGGGAAATATCTTCCAGATAATGTGTATGCTGACCAACACCCTGATCGAATAATGAATGAGGCTGACAGATACCTACATGTTGATAGAGAAACCCAAACTGATGATAATGACCTGAAACTACTCTGGAGATTAGCAAGAACCATTCCTCCATTCAAACTTTCAGATATTCTCGGTGAGTTCGAAATGGATCCTACAGGCATGTACATCATTATTAGAGATGAAGGCAAACTCAAGGATAAGCATGGAAGACTCGTTAATTCGAGAGGTTATCTTATTGACGAGGAAGGCAATGTCATTCATCAAAACGGTATAATTTATTAACTTAAGCCTTTAGGAACAAAGATATTTGACAAAACAGAGTTAGATTCAAACGATGAAATCCCGGCTCCTTTCTTAATAGATGAGGATGAAATCAATGCTATCTCTAAACCAGAACTGATTCCTATGCCAAAAACCAAGCCTAAAAAGTCTGCTAATCATCCTGATAATAGAACATTTAAAAGAAAAGATGCTTCAGGTATTTTTCTTCATCACCTTTTGTAGCTTCTCACAGAAAGAGTACTGGGAGGAGTAAAAGGAAGCCTCCAACTCAAGAAAGAGTTTCTAGCATTATGACTGATTTTCCTAAACCAGATAGAGCTAAGATTGACTCCAAAGCTAAGAAGATGAGGCCTATCACGTCCAATACAAAGAGGCCAATGACACATGGTCAGACTAACAGAAGATCAAAGCCTGTAAGTAGCTATTTGAAACTTCTAGATGTTTGGTAATTACACTGAAGGCAGGACTAATAAAGTCAAAGAAGAAACATCAGATATGAACTCCACTATTAATCTCGATAAGATCAATATCTCAAAGAGACAGAACTACATGCTTAACGATACTGATGGTAAGTTCGATGGTGATATTCTTAGACATTGATCACGAGTCTGATCTCAGAGATACGAAGGAGAACCCATCAGATATGTTCTTCAAAGATTACCTTCTAAATCAGAGACCTGACTACTATGGAGATACATCTGATAAGTTGTCAAAGTCGAGGAAGCTTTATTACTAGTTCAGTTTTAATATTCTATATTGATTTCAATAATTCAAATATCAACAGGGGTTTTGGGGTTTTGGGGTTTTGGGGTTTTGGGG